ACTTTAATTACAATGGAAAAACAATATTATATATGCTTCAGGTGTACATAGTTATTAGGCATTTATATAATTTGTGAAATGATCATCCCCTAAATCTAGTACTGTTCTCTTTATCTGCCTTTTTCTCCTTAACACTTAGGACCAACTTGCAAACTAAATTTATGTACTTATTTTATTGTCTTTTTCTCCGTGAAGACAAGTCCTGTGTTTTGTTCAAGGCTCTAACTCAGTGGTTCTCAACCGTGGCTGCACATTAGAATCACCTGGGAATCTTTTTAAAATCCTGATTTCTGGGCCTCATCCTCGGGAAATTCTGTTTCTTTGTTACTAATGTTGTGGCCCCACCGCGTAACAAAGAAACAGAATTTCTGGAGGATGAGGCCCAGAAATCAGGATTTTAAAAAGATTCCCAGGTGATTCTAACGTGCAGCCAAGGTTGAGAACCACTGCAAACTCCTAGAACAGTGTGAGCGCTCAGCAGGGCGGATTTATTCAGTGTTGAGGGGCCACAATAGTTTTAGGGGCCCAAGAAAGTGTGGGGTTTTTTCTTAATATTTTTATTGATTTCAGAGAGGAAGGGAGAGGGAGAAACAGAAACATCAATGATGAGAGAGCATCACTAACTGGCTGCCTCCTGCACGACCCCCACTCAGTATCGAGCCTGTGACCCCAATCCAACCCTGGACCTTTCAGTCTGCAGGCCTACGCTCCATCCACTGAGGCAAACCGGCCAGGGCAAGAATATTTGAATTTCTTTAAAAGTCAGAAAAAATATGTAATAGTAGTTAATATGTAATAATGGATCCAGTCTGGATTATAGTCCTTATTCCAACAGTCATAATATATAATTTTGAATACACTTTTATGGAGGAAGGAGGCCACGAAAACAAAGTGCGTAAGGCCTACAAATAGAGCCCTGGAGCTCAGCAATGACCAAGTGGATGAGTAAATGAATAAAGAGGCCTCAGAGGTTGAAGCAGCCTAGTGGGCCCCCCTGCAATGAAGCCAGCTGCACAATCACCTCAAAATCCATCCCTCTTAGTGAAACTGCACAATCAATGGGTCTGGACTCGCCTGTCACTACTTGAGCCAATTAAGCAGAGACAGGGTTGAATCATATATGAGCGTTTATTCCAATAATGCTGGCAGTATGGGAGAGCATCAGGTCATCTACAAAATCTGCTCTGCCCCCCACCATAAGCCAGCTGCTTATATTGGATGGGAAGACAAAAATTACATAGGGAAGCAGGCAAAGAGATAAGAATGGGGAAGCAAAATGGGCAGTTTACAGGCAATGCAGGCTGGGGGTAAATAAAAGGCTGGGGGTATGCAAAAGGCTAGGGATTTGCAAAGGCATGGCATTTCTGGTTTCTGCTACAAGGTTGTTAATCTTTCCATGATAATAGGCAGCTCCTGGATGTAGAGGATGGGCCGAATTTCCAGGTGAGCTCCCAGGTCACGTGCAACTCACAGCCAAGTTGGAATGTACTTCCTTTAATCAGAACAAAACAATCACAGTTAACAGAGCATGATTAATATTGCTTACTAGAGGCCCGGTGCACAAAATTTGTGCACTCGGTGGGTGGGAGAGTCCCTCAGCCCGGCCTGTGCCCTCTTGCAGTCCGGGAGCCGTCAGTCGGACCCCCTTAGTGCTACTGTGGGGGCCGGAGAGGTTCCCGCCACCACCATTGCACTCACCAGCTGTGAGCCCAGCTCAGGGCTTCTGGCTGAGCGGAGCTCCCCATGTGGGAGCGCACTGACCACCAGGGGGCAGCTCCTGCGTTGAGATCTGCCCCCTAGTGGTCAGTATACATCCTAGCAACCGGCCGTTCAGCTGTTCGGTCAATTTGCATATTAGTCTTTTATTATATAGGACTAGAGCCATGGTCGGCAAACTGTGGCTCACGAGCCACATGTGGCTCTTTGGCCCCGTGAGTGTGGCTCTTCCTAAGCCTTAGGAGTACCCTAATTAGGTTAATAATAATGTACCTACCTATATAGTTTAAGTTTAAAAAATTTGGCTCTCAAAAGAAATTTCAATTGTTGTACTGTTGATATTTGGCTCTGATGACTAATGAGTTTGCCGACCACTGGACTAGAGGCCCAGTGCATGAAATTTGTGCACTCAGGGGGGTCCCTGAGCCCAGCCTGCACCCTCTCACAGTCTGGGACCCCTCAGGGTCAGACATCCCTCTTACAGTCCAGGACCCATCGCTCCTTACTGCTCACTTGCAGCAGAGGCAGCAGAGGCTCCCGCCATTGCCGCTGCGCTCGCCAGATGTGAACCTGGCTTCTGTCTGAGTGGAGTGCACTGAGCACCAAGGGGCAGTTCCTGCATTGAGCATCTACCCCCTGGTGGTCAGTGCGCATCATAGTGACCAGTCATTCCACCGTTTGGTCAATTTGCATATTAGGGTTTTATTATATAGGATAAGTATAGCTAGTCCTCAAAATTGCATTTCTGCCCCTATCATTAGGAGGTAATAAAATACTATATTTAACTGTAGTCATCTAACACTGTCCCAGATAAAAAAGGAGTTTGAGAAAAAAGTGTAAAAAAACAAAACTTTTGGAGTCAACCATGTCGGAGCTCAAGTATAAACATAACTTTCTGCCTTGATTGCATGAAAGCTATTAACATGTCCTACTTAATAATTCTAAAGTATTATTGTCGGGAGCCATTAGAAATATTGGCTTAGACAAAGCCATCTTAAAAACTATAAGTTTCTGGTTCCTTCAGAAACTCCTAATTACCAGAAACCACCTGTGTCTTGCAATTTGGCTAGGAGTTAAAAGATAACCTACCCTCACCCTAAGTACACAACTGCTAAATCTCCGCTGACAATCACACGTCTCCACTGATAAGCACACAGCCATCCGACGGCTGCTAATTCACGCAGCACCAGTTCCATTCCCAGTCAGGGTACGTACCAAGTTGAGGGTTCTTTCCCCATTTGGGGCACATGCAGGAGGCAACCAATCATTTGGGATGTGTGTGGGATTGGTTTTTCTCTCTTCCTCTCCCTTCCACTCTCTAAAATCAATAGAAATGAATTTTAAAAATAATTTTAAAGCATTGACAGAGGTCCCATGAATATCTGTACAGACCTACACTGAGGCATAGACTGTGTCTTTCAAAAAATTCTAGCCCTAGCCGGCTTGGCTCAGTGGATAGAGTGTTGGTCTGTGGACTGGGGGGTCCCGGGTTCGATTCCAGCCAAGGACACATGCCTGGGTTGCGGGCTCGATACCCAGTGGGTGTCGTGCGGGAGGCAGCCTGTCAATGATTCTCTCTTATCATTCATGTTTCTATCTATCTCTCCTTCCCCCTTCCTTTCTGAAATAAATAAAGAAATATTTTTTTAAATTCTAAAATTGAAATAATTAAGTAGTAACAAGTGTGCAAAACTTGAAGTACAATCCTGATGAGTCAAGACCAAATAACAGTTCCAGGATAACCAAAATATTTTCATTTGAAAAAAAATTTTTTTTTTTCCATTTTAGAGAGCCCATAGAAGCCAAATGAAAAGTTTGGTTATTTAAATAGCTGTGTTGGTGTATAATAGCTTATTTAGTCAAGTAAAAATTAAAAGTGTTAAGGTTTCATATTACAGGATTACTTATTTCTGGGAATCCATTTCCCTGTGAGGTTTCCATAGATTATTAAATTACTAGTATTACTAGTTCTTCTCAGTGGTATGTATGATTTTTTTCATAAAAGATATGCATACTTACAATTCTTGTACTAATTTGTATCTCCCTCATTATAGACTTTACAAGGGCAAGCCCATCCTTTTTTAAAATTTACCACTTTGCCCCAAATCTAGAACTGAGAGCACTAAACTTCCCTCAATAGTTGCAGAAATTTTTCTTTTAGATTAAGTGTCAAACTTGACATTTTCAATGAGGTTTCATTTGATCCTAGTATTGTTTAGGTAGGCATTATAAAATAAACTGTAACAGATTGAGTCACAAATGGTAAAACCAGAATTCATTTTCTGAGATTAAATTTAGGCAGTAAGTTTATGTTTGGACTCCTCTCTACTCCACACAGCAATAACAATAAAAGTTAAAAATATAAAGAAGAGCCGAAACCGGTTTGGCTCGGTGGAT